CAGCAGCCATGTAGGGAAGAGGAGTAGCAAGCCCGAGCAGGGCCAGACTCCCTCCTCCCCCGGCTTGGGCCGGGGTGGGGGGAGCAGGTGTAGCACTGAAGTCCTCCCTTCTCTCTTGTAAGAGAGTGAAGAAAAAAAAAGTTTAAAAGACGAACTGCCTGGACAGAAACCGCTGTGGAAGAATTCCAGCCGAAAGATAACGGAGCTTCCAAGGTCGAAGCTGGTAGCTGAAGCTGCAGCAAGAAAAGTAAAGTGCGAAAGGGGGGGCTTGTTCCCCCCCCCTTTTCGCTCTCTCTCTTCAGCAGGGAAAAGACTGAAAAGTAAACCCTGCTACTTGTAAAAGTTTGTTGGAGTAAGGAGACCCCCCATGCAACTGATAGAGGAGTCTGTGGATGTACCAAAGAGAACCGAGACTTCATGAAAAGGACTGAAGTGAGGCAGAGTCCTGGTGAAGATTTGTGACCCTGAGGGAAACCTGTGCTGGAGCAGTAACGGCTCAGGTGGGATACTGGGATCCGTGTGTGTGTGAATCCATACTGCTCTTGAAGATTTTGTGACCCTGAGAAATCTCATGCTGGAGCGAGACGGCCCATGTGAGATGTTGGGATCCATGTGTGTGTGGATCTGTGCTAGACCCATGCCGAGAAGTCTATCAAGGACTGTTCTCCCATGGGGAGGGACCTCCATAGGAAAACAGGAGTGAACTCTTAAGCCATTATCCCCTGTAACCCTGTGGAAGAAGATCCATAGTAAGCAAGTGTCCCCTTGCAAGCCTATGGAAGGAAGACCCTTCAGGACCTGAGTAACCCCCAGCCTTCGGTCTTAGCCCAGGAGGGGGGTAAGCCCAGCCCTGGAAGCCAACACAGAACGAGAGAGAGAGAGAAAGTTCCAACTGCAACAAGAATACTACTGCTACTGAAGATCTATTACTAGAGAGAGAGAGAGAGAGAGAGAGAGAGCTGGAACTCCGAAAATAGAGAATAAGACTACTTCTTCTCCTTGGACTAGTATAAAAAGGGAAGAAGTATTTCTGTATATATATAACACTTCAACTTGAGTAGAAATTATTGTAGATATAGTTCTTTAGTTTTTAATTTATTAGTAATTTTTATTTTACTAGTAATAAATGTTTATACTGTTTTCCCCGGGTCCTGTCTCTCTTTTGTCTGCAAAAACCTTCTCTCAACTAGTAGTAATTGTGTGTGGGGTGGAAAGCAAAATTGACCCAAAGCAAAACCACGACAGTTAATAAGAAATGCAAAATTCCAAGGCCTAACCAAAACAGAATTGAGACAAACTGGATCAGACAACCTGGAGTCAGGTAAAAGGTACCCCAGCCCAAACTCCTTGTTTTACAAAATATTACAAGTACCTGCCTTTAAAATGGTATGAAAAACTACTGGTACCTGCCTTTAAAACAGAAAAAGTATCCTAAGCAAGTGAAGTGAAAATAAAGTGAAGAATTAATTAACTAAATAGAGGTGATTAAAGTAAATAAAGGAAACAATTATCATATCAAAATAAAAGACAAGAAACATGATTAAATGAGTCTTCAAAAGACCCATGAGAAACTCATGAAAGACATAATATGCATTTACCTGGCTTTTAGTCTTTCATGATTTCATTTTAATTTTTATTCACTACCATCTGATAATTGCAAGAAACAGTTACTTTAACCATAGGCAATTTAAACCATTTTAATTTTTTTTTCCAGGGCCAAGAGACAAAAGAACCTATTTATTGCCTGAGGGGATTTTTACTAAAATGAAAGCTTAATCTTTCATGTTTTTTTAAGCAAAGGCTTTTAAAAAATCATTTCTAACAATGCTGTAGGGAGAGACTTCCATGGGTATGCAAAATTGAAATTATAAATTTACAATTATGAAAAAATTAATAGTTTGGGGGATTGTATTGTCTCTGTTCTTTCTGAATGAATAGTCTTTCAAGCATAAGAGAAAGTATTTAGCACATGGAGGAGAATGAGTGTCCTTAGACTCTCTTGCGGTCAAAGTTATTTAGTCAGAATGGAAAAGGGAAAGATCACTGGAGTTTAATTTGTTTGGAAATCCTCAAATATCAGATGTCCTGTTGGTTCCCCACTTCCTGGCCTGTTTTTCTGGGTTGCCAATGCATCAAAGTTGGTCTCACCACTATCTTCTCTGTACTAGTCTGATGCACTGAAGGTTGTTAAATATTATCAATGTAAAATTAAGCTTTAAGATGAATTTTAACAGAAATAACCACCTTTTGGGGCTCTTATGACACATGTTTACAAAGGACAGAACAGGAGCTCTTGGTCAAAGATTGATTCAGGAGAGATCTTCAGGAGAGACCCAGTTATATATGGTTAGAGACGTGGATATGATTTATGTGGCTGCTGTGGTTTAAGGTATACTAGAAACACACCACTTATGCCCACCCCTGTTCTGTGCAGTATTCTGCCTTTAATAGCATCAAGCAAAAGATTAAATTTAAGCATCTACCTTTGCACTGCCCTAAATTTGGGCTGTTTTCTCAACTGAGAAATATTAATTTAATACATTATCTGGAGACACACAAACATTTCTTGCTGGGCTTAGTGCAGGCTTTGAAATCAGACAAAATAATTTACGCTTATGAAACACGAAAAACTGAAGGGTTCTATTAAAAGAAAACTAGACCAAAAAAATATCCTCAAGGCCTCCAAACATCCACACACTGAAAGTCAGATTTAAATGCTTTCTGCCAACGTATCTCAAGCTTTAGTGGCAATACTGTGAGCTACTATGAAAGGCTTTATCAAACTAAATTCATTTTCCATAGAGCAGAGGAGGATCACTGAAGATATTATTCAGGTTTACAAAGTATTTAATAGGGTGAGGAATGTGGAACCAGATAAGGAAGGTTAAAATGAAGAACATTTTAATAAGGCTGCATTTCAGGTTGGTTGTGCAACATAAATAGGTCAGTAGATCTATTAGATACACGTTTTTCTTTGGCACAACAAAATGTCTAATTAGAAACAACTGTGTACAGGTACTATCTGTAAGACTTTCAAAAACAACTGGCGTACTGAATACACTACTTCAAAGGCTAAATGTCCAGAAATTTTGAAAATAACAAGTTAAATGTGTTAGCCAAAATCCTTAATCTCTTTGGAAAAAGACTGGTGCCTGCTCTACAGTACCACCCTGAGCAATAGAATGCTGATGCATCTGCCCAGCCCAGCTGAAGCACCTGTTTGACCACGGCCTCTGCAGACTTGGACATCAAAAAACCCCACCTTCCAGGTACTCAAGAAGCCTCAAGACTACATTAAGAGAGGGAACAGCAAGTCAGCCAGGCTGGATAAGAAGACTGTGTTGGAGAGGGAAAGAGGCAAATGTGGACCTTAAGGTTGAATCCAAGCTCTGTGCTGACGTGGGCAAGACAAAGTGCCTGACAGGAATGTTCTGGTGCCACTTTGCTGCAGAGCAGCAATGATAAAAAAGGAGGTAATTTCCAGCCCCTCTGCACCAAAGCCCTGAACACCGAGTCGCCCTGAAAAGTCTTGTCAGAATGTGTCAAGATATGTTGAGTGTGTTTTGGGAGGACAGGCTGCTCAGACATTTAACAGCCCAACTACAGAGATACCACAGAACATCCATGAAATGCAACATTTTTGCTTCTGTACAAGGGTGACGTTTAGACAGGAGTAACGTGGAAACATTGACACTGTGACTTGCCTTTTGCAGAGCGTTAAGTCCCAGCTCCAGGACGGAGGGGAGAGATTGCTCAGGTTTAAATATATAAATACATATATATATATATATCAGCAAGCCAAAATTATTTTCACACAACCTGCTTCTCAGAGATGTTGCTAATAAATATTATTTTTAGGTCGAGATGAGGCTCGTGCCAGAAACGGGAAAATTCTGCACAAACTAAGTATTAACCTCTGTCCCAAACAAACAATAAAACTGCAATATAACGGGAAGCCTTGGCCAGTGCCAACACCCGGCACCACACTCGGTCCCAGTTCTATTGTGCAGTGAAGACTGTTTTCCTTACTGATGAGCTCAAACCGTCTGCCATGAATTACTTTTTCATGGGGAATAAATACACACTTAAACAAGATTAAACACAAACGTTCTTTAGTGGTGTCTAAAATAATATGAATGTTTTTTAGAACAGCAATAAACACACTTCATGATGCAAATAATTACACCCTGCAGCCTTTATGTAACGATAAGTGGCCGGATTCTCCACTCGGCTACAACACTGTAAATCCAGAGTAACTACACTGAATCAATAGTGCTCTCTCTCTCTAGATTCTGGAGATGCTGAAGTGTTACTGAAGTCTGAATTTACCCTGATTTCTCTCTATGGTTCTGCAGACATCAGACAGTCGTGGCTGCAAATCCACATAGTGGTCACGAAGACATTCCCACCTCTCATCCTGTTCCTTTTTCCCCCCATAAAGCTGTCTTTTGACTGGTCTTTTGCCAGTGTATTCCTTTTGCATCTGATACCACTTCTGTGACTGTATACTCAGGATCAGAAGAAAGCTCAATTGAGCTCCAGCAAGAAAAAGAGAAGGAAAAAAAAAGGAGAGAATGTCTTCACAAAAATTCATGATGGGTAAAGGCAATTCCCAGCACGTGCTGGGAATCAAAGATCAGTCTCTCAGAACCACCTCAGCTGATTGTTCTGTAGGACAGGAACAATTTGGTCATGTTCTGAATTCTTCCTGAAAAGTTAATTCCAGCTTAAGTTACCCATGCAATTGCAGTTTTCACACAGAGTTTTGTACGATGGGTCTGTTAGGGAAATTACTTGGGAAAGGTGAACATGTCCACATCGGACCACTTGAAAAAAGTAGTTATTTGCTTAAAAACAGCTGCAACAAAAAATGCATTCAACAATTAAAGGGTCTTCAGAATGCATATAAGCATGGAACCTAAACATAACATGGAATCACCATTTTAACTCCCGTGTTCCCATTTACTCCCACGTTGAAATCACAAGCACTCTGCTCTTACCGGGACTTGTGAGGGCTCCCAGAGCACCAGTCGTTGTGGAGAGAGGATTTGCATTGGTGGTGGTAGCTGAGGTCTGGGCGGCGGCTGCTGCGGCTGCTAAAGTTGCCAAATTCTGTAATTGTAAAGCGTTCATGCCTACGTGGAGAAGCAATAGGGTTAATTAAAACATGTAACTATCGTCATCACCATTATCATCATGAAAATAAAGAGTTACTTTCAATAGACATGGAGCTTGGGGTGTGCCTTGCCAAGAAACTCAATTCTTCTCACTCCCAAGACATCTCTATCCTGGAACCACTTCCTTCACTTCCTGAATGTCAACTCTCACTTCTGTACCTTGGAGCTGAGAGAATGCAGCAAAGGCACAAGCCTATGCTTCAGGAAAATTAAACCTGGTCTGTGCCTCTTCTACAAGGGAAGTGTAGAATTAAAAGTAATTTAAACTCTGTGAGAAGCCCAGACGCAATATTATTTCCTGACACAACAGGGGGTGTAAAGAAGATAACTAACATTTAAAACACATTCAGGACAAGGTCATATAATTGCAATGAACACAATTTGTTTCCCATGACTCCTCTGAATATAACTACTAAGGTTACACTGCGCAGTAGCCAATAATTGTGCTCAATTTCCTTTTGGTAGTTCATTTCTAAAAACTTATATGAACTAAGTACATCAAATTAGTATCAGCCTGACCACAGAGCCATCACTGAAGCTGGGACTTTCAGGATGTAAGCTCTGGACTGTGATATCAAGTTACTCAGTCATCTATTGCTTCATTACTTTAGAAGATGTAGGGGAGATATACCTGCATTTTAGTGAGCACCTTCAAAAATGAAGGCATTTAAATAGCAAGGGCTTTAATTTAGATGGCAAGTAAAAATGACAAACAATAAACCAAAATTAAGTGAAATGGGAAAAAAAAGATGATTAAGGAACAGCCAATGGCATACATTTGCTTAAATCAGAGGGACAGGAGTCTGTCTCTCCAGGGGACCAACCCTAACCTTTTACCTTAGATTAGACAAAGTACTTGGACACTAAGGTAAAATACTTCAGTAAGAGACTAAAATGCAGATATAAGATTACATTAACCAGACTGGATCTTCCTCAGGATCCTCTGAGTAAGACCACCTTTCCACAGGAGCAATGCTCAGACTGGGTGTTTACATATGGATGTGAGAGAGAGGGTTTGGATGGCAGTGAGAGATCATCCTTTTGGTTCAGACACGTGAAGGAGATCTGTGCCTGCTGCTTGAGCCCTCAATAGGACTGACAAAGTGCACAAACCCAAGAGACTGAAAGACGTTTATTGTGTTCTTGTGGCCCTGATAATACAAGTACATGCCCGAAAGGTTAGGTGGTAGGAAAAGCAACACCTTTTCTAGGCTAGTTATAGAGCTGGGAAGACTGCATGAGTTTTGGGGAATGCCCAAAGGAGGGCTTGAATGCCTGGAAACTTGTCTGATTTTTTGTTCTCAGCATTAGTCTACAGGAGATATTACTTCTCTCTGCACCCTCTGTTTCTCAACCAGGGGAACATAAGACTGGCTAAATATAACACTTCCTAAGGATGTTTGAGAAGAAAAAAATGCAAAGAAGGAGAAGTATTTTCTAAGACTTGTGAACTCCTGCAATTATGGAGAGTGACATTACTTTCAAACGCATATGTTGCAGACTCAGGTTGGTACAATCAACAAGCCCCAGAAAGAAGAATTCTTACCATCCCAGAGTGAGGGACTATGAGGTGAACCATGATATAAGCATCTATTTGTTAATAAAGCCCCAAATTTTAATGCAGCATGTTTCAACAGGCAGGTCAGGCTTCAGGTGAGCACCTGATCTGGCTGAGGTTCTAATGTCTGTGCCTCAGTCAATACCCAAAGTCAGCTCAGATGGTGTTTTTGAAAATGTGACACAATGACAACTGTAGGAGTTACGGTTTTAGCTGATCCAAGATACAGCCCTTCTTAGTCTGGAATCTGCACAACACACTTGGAGGAATTATGTGACCAAAAAAGCTCTTTCAGGTTTCTTTTGGTAGCTAATGACCATCTTAAAAAATAAGTTTTCTCTCAAACACTATCAACCCAAACAATTTTGCAAGACACAATTCAAATTCCAATGTTTTGCCCAAGTGGATGCAAAACAAATGCCATCATTGCCTCATCTCATAAAATTTTTATTAATTTTTTTTTTTAAATATAGTGGGATGTTTCCTTTGGAAACACTAGAGGAATCCGTTGATTTGACAAATGAGTTCAATGCCCACAGAAGATGAATGAACAAGAGCTTGGTGGTGACAAAGTTGTCTCCCCATCTAATCTGTTTCACTGTAGAGGTGACTATAAGACACTAGCCACAAAACAGGTCTGCAGATGTTACAGGGTGCCTGCAGGAAAAAAAGACTGCTTGCTGTTGTCACACCTGAGTAAGAGCACCCAAATGTGACTGTCAGTAAGGGCTCAGGGCACACACTCACCCGGCATGCTCTAGAGCCGATTTTGTCAACAGTTTTATCACTCAATATGCAACCTCTTTAGGATCCTCTGTCTGCTGAAACATCTAAAAAATAAGTCCTGTCATCACTGTTTCATGTTCCCCAGGCAATTTACCATCTCTGCTCCCTCCTTCTTGGTTTCTCCCATCAACTTGTCAGGCGCGTCAATGTTCCACTTGATAGGACAACCTTGTAGGAGGGAAGCCAAAGGCTCTCAAGTCCCAGTCCCAAAAAGTGCTTTGCTTTGAACTGGGGATTTTTAGTTCGACTGAATTGCATGTAAGGCACCGTTCTGTGGGATGAATCTGCTTTCTCATTCTCTCTCCTTTCTCACAGGCTCTTTGCACATATTTCACATCCTACAGTTTTTTCAAAGCAGTCCCAAATCCCGCAACAGGGCTGGACCGCAAATGAGTAGATGGGTTTTATTTGAAAGTGCTGCTCACTCAGCAAATGCACCTCTCTCTGAAGAAATGCAAATTGCTTAACACTGAGGAACAGCCTCATAGGCAGAGCTGCACATGAAAAATGAAAATCCTGCCGTAGAGGAAAAAAACCTTCTGGGTATGGAATAACTCTTGATCTTCATGATGGAGACAATGTTGGGAATTAAAGGGAAATGATTAAAAAAACCAGAATCACAATACAGTTTGATTCCATTTTTAATAACATGTATTTACCAATGCACTATCAGCTTGGCAAATATTCAAGATTGCAAGGAAATTCAACTTTCATTTTGTCATTTGGCAGATTAAAAAAACAATTAAATTATGTACAAAACAGATGCACAGTATGTCTTGCTTGAAACTTAAGATTTTTTTAAAAAATTATTTATAAGGATAGGGGCATGAAAATTTAATTTAATGTTCACCTTAGGTAATTTTGTGTCTTATTGTTCACAGCAATTACCATAAATCTACATATCAATAAGCGAGAACAGATGTCAGTTGTTACAAGTGCTTGCCAATCAGGCCTGTTAAAAAGTGACAGATGGATGGTGATAGAACATTCTCATAAGGCCTATTAGCACATTCACAGGAAATTTTTGTAGTGCTGCACAGTCACAGATGCAGTTCTGTGAAAACACGGGGAAATTTGAGAGCACGAGATTTACATTTTACAACTTCTTGTGCTGCCTCTGACACAAACTTTCATACAATGAAGCAATTTGCCTCGTTCAGTCACTGCAGCGTTTCTCCTGTGATAACTGTAAATTCAAAATTATTGGGTATTTGTAGAGGAGGGAACAGAGTCACAAGCCGTTCCTGATGACTTCTTAGGCCTCATCAGCTCTTGGGTTTCCAAAACCATAATAAAATCATATTAGGAAATAGCTGAGATTTGCTTGCTGAACAAATTCCTAAAAAAGGAAGGCACTGGCTACATTTAGTGACAACATATGCACAGAGAATTTCAAAGTCAGTGGTGATTATCAGAACCAAATCTGATAGCTCATAAGCAGTTCCCACTGACTTGACTTCTTTTGCTTTGGATATTTTATCCTTCTCAATTACTAGGATTTATACCTTCTGAATTAGATACTCACTGCAGCTTAAAAAATGTGGATTAAAGTAAAATTTATAATCTCCAGGCCAAAAAGCAACTATTTGCTGACACTGACATCAGTCGTTTTGGATGCTGATGGTAAAAATGGGTGTAAAGGTGTGGAGTGTGATGTTATTCCAGCTATATTCTAAGAATTAAAATAGGAGACCTGAGCCCTACCTCCATCAAAACATATATATTCTGCCTAACTTTAGAAAAGCTGCTTAACTGAACAGTGCTTGAGGTACACTGACAGTTACAGTTTGATTTAGCAAAGCCCTTCAAACAACTTTTAAGTTCACATTTGATTCTGCCCTGTTTTTTTAAGAGTACATGCTTAAATCTGACTGGAAGTTCACAGGCTCATAGAATGGCTTGAATTGGAAGGGATCCTAAAGATCATCTAGTTCCAACGCCCCTAGAGCCATTTGTTGACTTATGTGGGATTTCAGCCCATTTTCAGGTTACATACGCTATAAACACATCCTGGCAAGAAGTGTGCTTTCCTCAATTGAAACTGCTCCAATGCTAGTGGGAAGGATTCATCTCATCTCACTTTATCCAAATAAAAGTTACTTGCTCAGGCTCTTGCTATAGTCAAAGAAGAGAGAGGGGGTGGATGAATCATCTGATCCTAAAATAGAATCACAGAAGCATAGAACAGTTTGGGTTGGAAGGGACCACAAAGATCAATGAGCTCCCACTCCCTGCCAGGGGCAGGGACACCTTCCACTAGACCAGGTTGCTCAGAGCCCCATCCAGCCTGACCTTGAACACTTCCATGGATGGGGCATTCACAGCTTCTCTGGGCAACCTGTGCCAGTGCCTTCACCCTCACAGTGAAGAATTTCTTCCTAATATATATAATATTTTCCTAATATCTATAAAATAGATAGATAACCCCAGACTTTTTGGGTGAATCGCTGCCTGGGAGTGACTCCCTCTTCATGGACACTGCAGGGAAACAGGATGACTACTTTCCAAAATGCTGAGGTTCCACAGAGGGAAGCCCCTCACCCCCTTTTTAATGGTTATGGAAAGTCCAGACAGAGGAACAGATCGTGTAGCTTGGCCAGACTTGGCCAGACTTCCACGTCATGCACTTTCACTACCTGAATAAGCATCTCATCACCTGCTCAGCATTGGTTTTACTCTTAATGTGCCTCTCCTTCTCCTGTGAGAAGGAGCAACATGTGGATTGAGAACAGGCTCACTTGCTTCAAACATTTCCTCCCCCAAAAATGCTAAACAGACTTGTTTAAATTATTAGCTAAAAGAAAAAAAAGATCTAATTGTATGTGTTAAATTAACTAGGACTTTCAATGGAATTAGTATTACAAAAGCTCAATGTTTTTGGTCCCTGAGGTCAACATTTTCAAAACTGGTAGTTATCTTTAAGAAACAGCTATCTCCCCTGAGCTGGAAACAGTTTCTCAGTGACCTTTACTTTTAATATGATATCCCTAAAGAGGTCATAGCAGGAGAAACCCTCCTTCAGTATGGCTTTGCTGGAATGAAGCCATTCAAGAGTCAGAGGATACAAAGGATCCTTGGGCCAGTGCAAAAGTGCAGAGCTTTTGTGCAGATGGTCCTGGCTTCCAACTGGTCCCTCCAGATCTACTGAGCCAATCCAACAATTAGAGGAAAATATTCAGAAAGCAGAACCTTGCAGAGTTTCTCTCACCCATATGGTCCTACAGACTCTGCAACAGGAGGAAATCTGGCTTGGGTAGCAGAAGAAGGGTGAAATGGATTGAATGGGGCTCAGAAGGGGCCAGAAGTTCAACCCAAAACTCAACCAAACTGTGAGAGAACATGGAAAGGACTGGAAAAAAAAAATAGATTGGAAAAATATGAAAAGTCCCAGCTGTAGACAGTTTAGGAATCTTAAAGCCAAAGAAGAAAAGCCAAAGCCATGGTTTCTCCTCCTGTATAACTTTAGAAAGCAAAATACATTGTCTATTCAATGAAATTAAGAGAAATCCTTTGTGTTTTTTATGAGTACTGCACATGGTTTTAAGTCCTGAATGGTCATACATATAGAAATATTGTTGTATGAGCCAATATTTATTCCTGCCAAAACATTTGACATTAACAGACAATAGAAAATCTTCATAGATCATATATTTTTTATACATCAAAAACATTGAAATATTTTCTACAATCACCCTAATAATAGTAAACCTCCCTGTTTATACTGTCTCTATAGTACTTTACAGGCTCATTGGCTTAAATAACTGCAGCTTTTAGGACCTGATCTAGTGCCAGCCAAATTCAATGCAAACATTCAAGCGACATCAATCTCCTTTGAACCAAGCTTTCTATGCAATTTGTATATATTTGAAGGAGGAATTTCTGTTTGCTTGAGAGGTTGCTAGTGCTTAATGTAGCTTGCATTGTCTTCTAAAGTAAGACAATCAAATCCCATAATGTAATTCATCTACATTATTAGCCTTCCCCAAAGACAAAGTGCAGGCTAGACGCTGAGGCTGGAGAGGCATGTGAGAGGAAACACTGCCTTTAAATTAGCATGAGCAGATATCAGAGGAGGGGAAGAAAAGTGAGGATTTGTTCACTATAACATATACACATGAGGATTGCATGTGCTTGCATGTTTTATACAGGACAATGAAGCAGAGTTTGGCAAGGAAGGATGTGTGCCTGCCGTCAAGACCAGGGGATTATTATAATACCAGAGGCAGCATTGCCAACTCTCCCAACTTTATTACCAGTCTCAACATATTACATTGTTTTCTTTGGCTTGACTCATGAAATAAAATGATTTCATTAAAATCTCATTTTTCTATTAAAAAGTCAGAAAAACCTAATCCGAGGATTTAAGCGTGGAACCTTAAAGCCTGGAAAGCTAAATGGCAACCTACAACCATTTGTCTCTCAAATTTTAGTATCTCAAATTTTAGTTAGAACAGTTTCATGATTTGCTTGGACTTCACAGAATGCTAAATATATAGCAAGGTCAGTGGGCTGCTACAGCTACTTTAGAGCTGGTGCTGTGTGTTTAATGTCTGTATCTTACTGATAAATCCCGATATTTCACTGGACTGTATTCTCGCTTCCAAACAAACAGAAAAACTCTTGAATCACAAACGCCTAAAAATCCCACTCCTTTCACCAAAATCAAAGAACCAATGCTTTTGCAACATAAAAACTACTCTAACCAGATAGAGGCATGATATTAGGCAAAGGAAACTTAAAACTCCACACTGAAGACCAGTGTCTTCGCTCTGCTAGCAGAGAAAATTGCTTTGATTCAAGAAATAATATCACTGAGCACAGCAAATAATTCTTCACATGTGCAGTGCTGTATCCTTTCTGTTTTGTACCAAGAAAACACAAGCTTTAGCAATACAAATAAATACTTGCAAGATCCAAAGGGCCCTAATTTTGGACAAGGGGGTGGCTCTCTTAGAAATCCTAACGCGGCAAACTGAGACTTCGTCAAGATTTAAGCACAGAAGAGATGCTAGAACCCTGGCATGCAAGTAAGAGTGGAATTTCAATGGCTCATATGGCTTTTGATGAAACTTCTAGCGTCTGAATTCCATGGTTTGCACACCCATTGACTTCAAAGGTAAAAGTTGCACCCCTCAAACACAAAGTTTAAAGAACTTGAAAGCGGCAATGATGGATCTTCTTTATCACCTTACTTAAATGTGTCTAGATTTTATTCCCCACTTTTCAATGTTATATTAATAGGCAAACTACATGCAACATGTTAGATTAATTTTTGTAAAATGAACCTATACAGCTTAAGTTAAAAAGCTCTGGGCCTTTACAAACGTTCAAAGACGGTTTCAGCAGGAAATGCAAGCTCTTGTTGCTGATTACAGTATTTTCTACTCCTTTCACAAAGCATCATATACAATTGTTAATACTGGATGCATTGCATGACACAGTACTGCCTGATTTTTGAGAAGAGGATGTGAACTCCCAGTTGTAACAATGAAATAGCGCTTAATCTTTGGCACTTTCATGTAGAGGTGCAGCTTGGAGAACAATTTAGTATCAGTAATTTTACCCTGAATATAAACATTTAAGTTACATGTTTTGGGGAAAGAAAGGAGTGAACTTCAAGCTGTTTTGATAACATGAATATAAGATATGAAATACATTTTTTTCCAAGAAAGGCAGTCAGTCATTAAATTATCCCATACATGAGTGCATTAGCAATCTAATTTGTAGTCGAGAAGGTATATCCCTCGAGTAACAATGATGTGCCAACTACGATTTCTTAAGATGACTTTCTCCTAGTCTCAAGACCATATGATTTTCAGAAAATAAATCACAGCCCAGACTGAGAGCCCATCCTGAAATTACTTGACTGAAATCCTTACTTTCAAGAGAGTTCTCAAAGACAGCGGTGAATCTACACTACCAGCAAAAAACGGACAACAAAAACTTCTAAGGTGCACATAATGCGATAGGTATCACATTATTTTTCCTTGGTGTCTCAATTTTTTCATTTTGTAGACCTAACCAAATATGAAAACATTAAAACACAATCTCTGAGCTCAAAACCACTTCCAAAACTGCCAAGTATAAAACTGTTACCGACCCGTTCTGTTCTGTTTATCATATTAAGATACATTTTTTGGATGAAAAAAATGCTAGATTGCAAGTGTAACATAATAGAACCAGCAAGCACTGCCAGCAGGTCTGAGGAAGAGAGAATAATTCAGAGATATTGTCATCTGTAGGCCAATTTATATTGTCAGACAGCAGGTTCACATTAGTCTCTGATGTCACTGCAATAATGGCATAATATAACGATTGAGCAAAGAATACCTGTGGGGTATAGCTATACAGTGAGGTATATCTATACTTGTAAAGAATTTCAGGCTTCATTCAAAGCAGAACCAGAAAAAGCAAAAGACCAGGATTAAAAAAAGAATGAGAAAATGGTGTTCATAAAGACTTCTGAATATTTTAGCCCTTGTTTTATGATGATGAAGCAAGCATAATGTTGTATTCCATTGATTCAGTGGGTTCATGATTAAAATAAACTAATGTAGCAATTTAGGGGTTTTGTGATTCTTTTTTTTTTTTTTTTTCCCCTGTAACAAGAAAAAAAAGCTTTTTAACAGTTCCTCGCGGCAGGCATAATGTGCATCTGTGCTCTGATTTACTGCACATGCTGCCTTCTCTAGCATCATGTTAAGTTAGGATATCAGCATGGTAGGTCACACAGTGGGAGTGACCTTTTGCTAATCACTACACATCAGTTACTACTGGCACACAGCTCATTACTAAGAAACCCTCCAACTAGCTGGCTTTCAAATCCGCTCACACTTTGATTCCTTTTTCCCCTTTTCTTTCTTTTCTTTTTTTTTTTTTTCCTCCAGACTAAAGATTAGACTTTCACATAAAATCTCTGTTGTGTAATTTCGCCAGCTAGGGTTCCAAAGTCAAAAAGGCACCCAGTTAATTTTCCGTGATTATAAAAGGAGTCTGAAAATTCATACTGAAGGTAGGCCTGTAATCTTGGGTTTCATTAAAAAGGTCAGAACATTTTTCCTCACCACCTATTATTAAAATGTTTGAGGGATGCCATTAATTTGATTTTTCAGGACACAGAAATCTCACTGGAAATTAGAATGTAATCCTGCTGTTGCTTTCCTGACACTTTTCATAGGGCAGGATACGGCTGCAGGGACTAAGAGCTCTCCTGCAATTTACAGTTGGTTACTTTGGCCAAATGGCAGGTGACTAATGCAAGACAAACTGTTTGCACAACCTGGGAGCACTGGGTTTAATTTCAGTTCTGAAAGAGGGGAGAAAGTGTTTCTATTGACGTTGAACCACGAGCTGTCCCCTGCCAATACATCTGCCACATTTAATAATCAACATGCCCCCCGCCCCCGACAACGTGATTATTAGAGGTACAGAAATTCAACAGCTTAAGAATACAAAACAAAGCTGGAGCAAAATGAAATGGTTTTTAACTCACCGGCCATTTGCTGAATGCCGCTGAAGGCACCCAAGTTACTGGAGGAAGTTGCTTGCTGCAGAAGCTGCAAATGAACAACACAACACTGCAATCTATCTGACAGTAATGCAGCAAATGAAGATAAAGCTAAAATGAGCTATCATTTCACATTTGGAGTATTTCTGCTTTCCTTTACATTTATATAGTCTCTTGCTTCTGTCTGCTGTTGGAATGAACATCCCTAGAGTCAATGCTGTAAATCCATATTAATGTCTAATCTCTATTAAGAAATACAGAGACACAAGGGAAACTCAATAACATGGCTGCTTTAAAACAATTAATCAATTTATTCTTTTTAACAACCAGGTGTTAAATCTATTTAAACCAACATAGTGTGACTAATTACAACCCTCTGTAGTCTGGTAGTTACCATAACTCATCTCTGTCAATCACAGTCCATTCTCCCCCACCCCCATGAATTCAGTTTTTTCTTTATTATCTTTATGAATCAAGCACACAGATATTCATTAGACTGGTATTTGTACATATTAATTTAGCCTATCTCAGTATTAATTAACATACCTCAGTACTAATATATATTTTTAATTGCTGGGTTAATTGCTGTTTATAACACTATACCAAAGCCTTGTTTGCACACAAATTATGTATTTATGCATACACAGTACATATATATGGACATATCTATTTCACAGAGTCACAGAATCCTAGAATAGTTTGGGTTGGAAGGGACCTTAAAGATCATCCTGTTCCAATTCTCCTGCCATGGGCAGGAACACCTTGCACCAGACCAAGTTGCTCCAAGCCCCATCCAGCTTGACCTTGAACACCTCCAGGGATAGTGCATCCACAGCTTCTCTGGGTAACCCATGCCAGTGTCTCACTACCCTCACAGGAAACAATTTCTTCCTAGTTTAAACCTGCCCTCTCTCAGTCTAAAGTCATTACCCCTTGTCCTGTCACTAAATACCCTTGTAAAAGGTCCCTCTCCAGGCTTCTTGGAGACACTCAGGTACTGAAAACTCTAAGGTGTCTCCAGAGCCTTCTCTTCTCCAGGCTGAACAACCCCAACTCTCTCAGCCAGTCTCCATAGGAGTGGTGCTCCAGCCCCTCGATCCTCCTTGCGGTCTCCTCTGGACTCACTCCAACAGCTCCATGTCCTTCCTATGCTGAGGGCCCTAGAACTGGACACAGAACTTCGGGTGGGGTCTCACGAGGGCAGAGCAGAGGGGGAGAATCACCTCCCTTGACCTGCTGGTCACACTTCTTGTGCTGCAGGCCAGGACGTAACTGACTTTCTGGGCTGTAGGCTCACATCAACGGGTCATGTTGAGCTTCTCATCCACTAACGCCCCCAAGACCTTCTCAAGGCTGTTCTTGATCTATTCTCCTACCAGCCTGTACCTGTGCTTGTGATTGCCCCGACCCAGGTTTAGGACCTCGCACCTGGCCTTGTACTTCATAAGGTTCTATTTGTCTAACTCAGAAGCACCAGGAACTCTCAAGTTATCCAGAAGCTCCTCAGCCAAACGTCTCAACTCCAGAGCCACGAAAGGCAGAGGCTCCCTCTCAGCTGTGCTGCAGGGCAGCCTCTCTTGGCCACCCATGACCTAAGACACGTGGCTGTGGGTTTCAGATTTTCCAGCAGGGGCAGCAGCTAACACCTCTTTCTCATCTTACAAATGGACCAAGGAAAATACCATTTTAAATTTATGAGAAATAAATGGCTTTTCCTGGCTACCTTCACTTTCTGTATGAGGTCGTATGAACCACACATGTTTAGCACTGACAGGACCATGCATTAAAGCAAAAGCCATTCCCAAATTGAAATGTGGAAAATTAGATGATTGATCCCCAACATTCTAGTTTAGAGGCTGCACCATATAGATATGGCCTCTACCATAGGCCATATTGAGCTGCCTGTCTGTCCTCCCCTAAGGAAGAACTTAAATTTTATTCCAGCTATAAAAAACAGACTCTAACATTCAAACCCCCAATAAAACTAATAAAATAAAATTTTATTTATGGTGGAGGGGTTGGAACTAGACGATCTTTAAGGTCCCTTCCAACCCAAGCCTTTCTATGAATCTGCGATTTATTTTGCAGCACGAGGATTCTTTAAATGCTTGCCCTTGACAACACTGACACATCTTCGAATGCTTATTCGGTTTCTATTCCTTGTTATTTATTTCTAGTCCATGTGATAAACATACCCAGAAGACACACTATGCATCCTGGAGGGCTTAGCAATTTATTGCAGGGAGTTTACTATATGGCTTACCACGGTTTTAAAATAAATACAGTATAATACAGCCACCGCCTCTGAAATGAACTTACAGCTAGATATTGTGGCGTGAGTCCTCCAAGACCTGTGAGGTTTCCCCAAGTGGCAGTATTGAGCTGTTGCATCTGCTGAGCCAACTGCTGCTGCAAACGCCGCTGCTCCTTGTCCTTTTGGGTGTCGGCAAACTTCACCACGATTGGCGAAGAGCAGCCCTGTGGTCAGACAGATCGGGAAAGACAGGAGGGTTAAATCACACCGAGTCACCCTCACACCCTGAGCTCAGCCATGTCCTGTAGGGCCACTGGAAATGGCACGACCAGGTCGCTCACCCTCTCTTTGTGACTGGCATTTGTAGGACCGCAAGGACTGAGATTTTCAGGTTCTTAGGAAAAGAGGCCATGGAGAAATTATTGATTCCCCGGTTCTTTTTATAAAGCACCTTTCCTCAGGCTCTCTTTTCCTTCCAGCTATCAAAATCGCTGCCAGAGACAGCAAAGTGTACCAGTCCTCTTTAATTAAGCTTCACAGCTGATGAGATGGACGTGATGCTTTGTCTGCAGTCTGTTTTCAAGGCATTGCCAAAGGGAGAGGTGCCCAACCTCCCTGCTGCCAGGGACCACACAGCCAACACCGCCCTGCCACCACGGTCTGGCTGTGCAGTCACACTCAGTGCAGCTGGGCTTGTGTGCCCTACGCTGGCTTGTGTTCCCTACGTAAGCAGACTGTGAGCAGCAGACTTACTGCATCGCCCATCATCAGCAAGCCACTGATCCTTCTCATGTCAAGGACTCCCAGTCAGTTCACCCACCTGTGGTCCGCTCCCAGGCACGCTTTGTATCAAGCACCCTTGAGATGTGAACAAAGGGCAGGATGCAGACCAAAAGTGACTAGTTCTGGTGATAGCAGCCCATTCCTGATGGCCACCATTTCTTCTATTGCTTCTATCAGCTTCTTGTTACATGATATGGGAGGGCTGCAAGACGCCTTAGGAAATAGGGAAGCTGTAAGAAAGAACTAGAGATCTGGTCTGCAGCCTACGCCTCACCCATGTCTGAGGGACTGTAGGGAAGAAGTAGGAGGTCAAAGACCAGATGGACTTTTGAGGTAAGCTGGAACTTCCCTTGGACTTCAAATTATGCATTCTGGGTAAAGTCACTGAGAGAACGAGATGTGATTACGAAAGATGTCTCTGTTGATTTCTCTCTGTTTCTTTTCCATGCTAAGAAATGTTTCATATTTTAACCTTTCAAGTCTTCATTTTTTTCAAATCAAGGAAGCAAACTATATACTGCAATGATTCAGTTCTTCAAATTAATTCAAGCATTTTATGAGTCATAGAAACTGTCAATCCATTTCATACTGCTTTTCAACTTCACAGGATCCAATGAATAACTTCCCTCCACCCGCCATGCTTTGTTATACTAATTTCTTGTCTAACTTCAATCTGAACGCAATGGTAGGAGTGATAAGTGACTCAAGTCCAAAAAACACAGCAGTGCTTTAGCCAAAGTGTATAGCGTGGGATGCGGAGCAGGGTTATACTTAACCTAATTCTTTCCGTGGCTGCTCTCACAACACTGTGAACATCTTCAGAAAAGATCCTGTCCTTGACTATTTACAAAAAGCAGCCATGTGCCTTTTCCTCTGAAAAACCTCACACCAGGACAAGTGATAAAAATATTCACAATCATCAGATGAAATGATGAAATAAACCACAATAATAATATCTCTTGTATGAAGATCTCTCATCAACACCATTCCTTTAGAATTATCTTGGAAAATCATAGCTTGTGATTTATTGTTCCACCTCCAATTCCTTTCCTGTGTGTTTCATTGTAAAAAGGTCTTACAGTGTTTCAGTGAGGGAGAAAGGAGATGCATAACACTCCAGCAATCAAATAAAGATTATGGAGGTGTTGGCTTTTTACACGATTACCTCTCTGAAGTGATTTTTATACTAAAATTAAAAATAAGATTATTTAAAAAAAATAAAAAAGAGCTGGGGGGTGGAGGGTATGAGAGAGATTTTTTTTGGTTTTTCTAATAAAAAACCCAAGCTGTTTCTATTTATTACAAGGTTTGGTAACATTGGGCTAAGAACAACTGAAACTTACTGCCTTCTACTTAAACGTACAGGAGAATCAAGTCTATTTCTAAAGAAATAGAAATGAGTATCAAAGGAAGAAATATTATATGGCTATTTCAGTTTTCAGTTCAGCAGCTCAGCACTCAACACTACAGCTGACATATTTATGAATGCTTAAATGTCAGTAAATTGTATAAAAACAATATCTCTGCAATTTATGAATCTATAATTCATTTTTTCACTGTCTGCTCTATATTTCATCACTTCATCATTTTCAAGAAAGCAAACATTCTGAAGACTGAAATTATATCTAGCAAGTGGGCTCTATATGAGAAAAGGGTTGTTATTGTTGTATCAAATTTACTCCATGATAACAAATTAGTGTCTTCTACTGACGCTGCATTCGAATGCCTTAAACAAACAAAAAACCTCCATAGAAATGAGATAGAAGAGCAAACACTCTAGAGCAGCAATTATATTTTTTAAATCACTTGATTTAACCAGGTCAGTAAGTCAGGTGGAAAGAGCAGTAAGAGAATGTACTATTATATAAGATGTGTTCATCTGGACTTAACATCCCCATTGTTCTTCCTTAGCCCACTTTGAAAATTTATCTTGGTCAATGATCCGTGCTAAAGAACTGAAAATAATGAAATCTTAAAAAAAAATAATCTGTGGCAATTGGGTTGAAACGCAATTATGTACTATACGTGGTCCCCTAAGCCCACTTTTGTTTGCGAAAGGACATGAAACAAAAGTGTCCAAGGATGACTGTTTCAAGCTGAGAGTTGACATTTAACACTAATCAACCCAAGTTAACTTTTTACTAGAGGAATCTTGACAAAAGTGAGCAATTTATTTTTTTTTTTTTTTTGCCTGAAGGGTGATTTCTGTTTTATGCACTTCCATTTTCTATCTTGAGAGGAGGTTTCCAGCACATACACAAGGTGCATTTCCCTTCCTCTTTCAGTGGCGTGGTATCTCCATACCATTTACCGCCATTTTCTTCCCAACAACTTGTGCTGCTTTCATCTTTTCCTGTATCTTGTCAGGGCAGTAGGTACAGCCTCCAACGAGTCCCTCCTCATGGACATAGAGGGTGTACTGCTTCTTTCCAAGAAGGGACTCCCAGCCTAAGCTCACCTGACACAAAGACCCAGATGTTCAAAGTGCAAAATATTTGGAATTGCCTTGCCTATATGGAGATCTCAGTGATGATTGTCTCTAAAGGTGTTGAGAGGTATTTTAGTCCAAGAGTCTATAGAATTGATCCAAGATTCTATAGAACTAATGACTCTAAGATCATCCCCTCAAAACCCAGCCTCTTTTGGAGTGCTGCATACAACAGAGGAATAGGGGAATTTGTCTGGGAGGTGTTATGTCTTTAATTTTACCGTCTCCTGAAGTAGAGCTGTGTAAAATTCATTTGGCTAGACAGAAAAATACATTAAAACACATGGAAAATATAGGTAAAACACAGTATTACCAATAAACATTTCCGTTTTACTTGGAATCGAACCCATCAAAACATATATATCTGAATTAAAGGAGCAGTGCATGGCAGACAAATTACTACAGGTATTATTTTGAGACTCAAAGTGGCATTTTTTTCACAATATACTATCAGACTGCATAGACTGTATAACAGCAGCTTTCTAGTAAATATAATGTCAATTATTCTCATCTCATTGGCAGATTCTCATCTAAAACTGTATACCCAGGGTCTAAAAATGCATTGCACTGAAAAGAAAACACATCGATTATAAAAGAAGCTCGACCAAATTCAAACGTGATGTTTGGAAAGACAATAGCTTTGCAATGCTGATATCATTACTTGTACTATACAGGAAACAGTTAGTGACAGTTTCATGCACTAGCTGGAATTTTATCTTCTCCTTCTCCTCCTCTGTCCACCCTCCCACCCCTGGTCTCCCCCCTTGGCTCGTTACACAAAGCAGCTCAACGACATGACGCAATAATGATTGTTTAGCACCCAGCATGCTTTGGGAGACTAGAGCATTGCAAAGGAAAATCACTGAGAGAGAGAGAAAAAAATAAATAAAAATTGAAAGGTCCTGGTGGAAAAATAAATAAAAAGGAGAAAAAAAAAAAAAGAAACAAGTGCACATAACATCAATGCCACCTCTGAGAAAAATCATCACTACACGAAGATACAGTATACATAATACAGTATAACATGCACTCTCCAATGATAAGCTAGAAGATCCAGAGTAAGTAAAGATTTCATACTTGTGCGGTTTTTTGTGCAAAATTCTGAAAGACCATGACAAAAATCACAGACTGAAAAAAGTTTTGAGATTGCCAGACAAGCCGTGGCATTCGATAACCACTCCAATGACCGGATCGTTAGCCCGCAGCTACAGTCACATTAAGTGAACAAGTTTAAAGTTCTGAGCTGCTCATCATGATAAAATCCGAGGCCATAGAGGCAGTTTGGAAGGGAATAAAGAGTGCTGCTTGTGAGGGGCCAGCCACGACGGGGCTCTGCAGGAAGTGCCACACTTCAACATGCTCTGTCATCATTAGCATTTTTATTGGCTACATGAAGAAGGCGAAATTATATTAAGTTAAAAAGAGATTCTATTTGCAGAAAAACACATGCACTAGTAACTCAGCGTGGCCACGTTAAATCTCTTGAGTTTTTTTCTCAGAGCAGTGCAAATCACAACACTTAGAAATCTATTTAAATGAAACTAAGATTTTTCTTTGGGGGGGTATGTGTGCTAAAAATAGATATAATTTACTTATCAGATATACTCTGAGTACGACTGAGGAGTGGTATTCACAGCATTTTACTTTCTGCTGAATGCCACTGAAAACAGGATTGAGAGCCGTGTCTGGATACCACACAGCCACCTTATTGTGCGCTTTCAGGTGATTAAGAAAAATAAAGCTTCACAAAGACAAGTAGAGTGAGCCGGTAAAAAATTTAAATCTGTGATTGTCATGTGTCTGATCTGATCCAGGAGAGCATGGCTTTACCATTCGCAATCATTTGCACAAAGAAAACAAAGAAAGGGCAAATGATACAGTACTGTACCTCCATGGTCTGAGACTGGTGCATGGCTTTGATTGCATTCTGTGCCATTGCCCTTGTAGAAAATGTGACAAACGCACAGCCTGTGGGAACAAGGGGACAGGGAGCAGGAAAGACAAAAAACAACAAGACAAAAGGGTTGGACGCTTGTTAAACCAACACAGTCTACGAGAACGGCCACAAGACGACACTGTTCTCAGTAGTACATAAAAATAAACAACTTCTCTAGTTTATTTATCGACAGTGCTGACTTGCTAATCTGACCATAGATGAAAGAAAAAAAACTAGGTGGGGATGGGTGATGTGAAAGGTTTTTGTTTAGTTTTTTTTGTTTGTTTTTTGTTTCGTTGTGTGGTTTTTTTTTTATGTTGTTTTGTTTTGCTTCTGTTTTTTAGCCACAGGGTTTGAAACAAGTAAGGCTTTTATGTAGCCTTTGGATTGCATAGTTAAGTCTATTCAGACCATGCATTAACAATTGCTTGCCCTGGTTTTTGTGCAGGTAAACTGTGAATAAATGACTGGCATTACTGACAGCTGAATTGGCAATTTAATAAAGGGGTCCATAACATCACACATTACTGTGATGCACCAAGAATGATCATACAAATCAGAATGAGAAAAACTACACTGTGCAGCCTGTGACTATGTGTGAAAAGACTCAGACAAAATTCAGTAATGTAGGTGGAATCTCAACATTTAAGAAAATAACATATTAAAAATACAAATCGTTACTATTTTTGTTTCCCTGAGTCCTAGGTACAAGTAATTCTAAAGCTACTGACAACTTGAACAATTATGAAGCTATGTGCATGAATACCTGAAAAATCACTTTTTTTTTCCTCCTCAGCCTTTTAAATAAAATGAAAAGCCAGTAGGCTAATGCTTGGGCTATTTTTCCACCCTTTTACTACTGTCAGCCATACCTACACTGGGCATGGTACAGTTCAACTTTTTAGTGCATGACTCACTGCCCTTTTGGCTAATAAAAACATTGCCTCCTGAGATTTACATTTTATTCTTCATGCACCCTTGGGCATCTTAAAGAAAAAGACTGTGAAATTAATGCAGATTCAGGCTGATTTTGTAATAATACCATGGCACACTAAAAGCTTAGCTAAAGCAACACAGACTTATTTCACTTGTGATCTCTAATGACTTTAAAAGTGCATTGATTTTCAGCTCCCTTAGCCTTGCACAGTTTGAACTTAGGTTTCAGAGAATAATTTAGTGTTCCACTCAATTTCCTCAAAACATTATTATTATTACTACTTAAAAGATTTCCAAATGAAGCAGATCTAAGCACTGAGAGGCTAAAGCATATTGTCATTTGAGAGCTAATGCATGAAAGCTACATTCTGGCATCAAAAATACAATATTGCTGCCCCTGTGGCCAATGGGCAAAATAAACCATTTTGCAATCCAACAAGCAACAGATTGTTTGGTTTATGCAAATCAATTTGAGGCATAAAATACCTTTTCTTTTTAGCTTTGTGTGTACCTGGTAAGATTATCAAGTCAAGACTGTATTCACATTTTAATCAAACAACAGTAAGAGAAAGCAATGCCTGATCATTACCCAAAAGCACTACATCTAGTCATGAAAATAAAGTCAATGCATTTTTGCATCATGCGGTATTTTTTTTCCCTCTTTAATGTAAAGGCCCTTGATTAAAGAGAACCTAAACTGTCTTATGCACCTCTGGTTGATAGGTGAGCATAATAAAATCAGAAGTCATAATTCTTTTACCCAAACTCCACGTATTTCTTAGGTAACAAAATAGCTGATGATGTCTTACTACTGTTTAGCCACACTACATGTTGCTATACTGATCTCCTTCAGCAACAAATTTCTGTCACAGAATATGATGTAACAAACCAGCTTTCTGTACAGCAATCTAGACAAAATGCAGTGCAGTAGAAAGGTAAATAAACTACAGTACCTCTGCTTAGATTCCATATTGCTGCTGTGCACTAAAATTAAAGAGGCCCAAATTTACCATCAGTCTCAAAGTAATCTCTCTTAATACCATTTCTGTTATTACCATTAACAGAGGAAATAACACCAAGGGTTTTCATTTCTTATCTTGCAGATTCAATGGGGGATGAGCACAAATAGAGATATACTGGAGGGCAGGCAAGGAACCCCATACAGAGCCTTGAATAATATTGTTGATAATGGTCAAGAAAGTGCTTCACGCGCTTCTTTGGCTCTCATTATCCAGGAGTGTGTACCATAGTGACAATTACTGAATGGAGGTTTCGAATGCATAAGAAGCACGTAAAAAGTCAACACAAATCAATAAGACACAGTTTATGCATTTATCACAATTTCTCCCCAGCAGTTCTGCTGTAAGTAACTTACTGAGAGATGTTGCAATTAGCAGGTCTCAAAAGAAATGTGAATCAGCAGAGAAACAAGGCTGCATTCCTCTCAAGATAAAGCAGACTCTCCCTCCCCTCCCTTAAGCTTTTTCTCTTTTTAACCACAGAGCTCAGCTGTTGGGGACTTTCGGTGCCCAACACCACTGCAAAGCCTTCCTCCTCACTCCTCAGCCCAAAACCATTTGCATGGGTCCCGTTGCCTTTGTCATGGAGCAAAAAGACCTTCGCAGCAGATTTCTGTACCAATTTGAAAGAAACTTGTTCTGTGGGCAAGGGGAATGCCTGATGAATGAGGTTATGCAGCTTGAATATGAGCATTTGGAAACAGCATTCCACAGAGAGGATGGGGCTGCATTTTAATTAGGGTTTGCCAGCCAGAGGCTACAAGGTTAGGTCCCCTTGTTATCTCCAGTCAGCAGGCCATTTCCCACCAATGAACAGTGGCCATTTGCACATTAAATACCCAATTTACCTCAATAATCATGGCAAAAATTCAGTAGACAAAGTTATTTCTAAATTATTTGAAAACCCAGACCTTCAGTGGTTACCATCAAGCCCACCAATTAAACCCTAGCTATATTTCCATTTAACCATCTTTCCAGACATTGCTATATGTATTCACATTCAAGGGTTCTTTTTCAGCTACCAAACCTGGACACTCACACACAAAATTTGTATATTTATTCTGTGTGTATATACATTATGTTATGCATGAAGTATGGGATGCTCTACATTTTATTATGAGTGAAGTATGGAGCCCTTTCCTTCATAACCAGACTGCCACACCCAAGGAGAGCTAAGCCTATATTATAGGATATGTCTACTTGAGCCTATCACTTTACTTGCATTTGTAACTTAAAAGATCAGAAAAGCTGTTCTGGGATCCTTGTATTCTCTGCCATGGTCAATGGCAGGACCAGATTTTTCTCTATCGGGTACATCTGCATTCAAGGAGGATGGTTTTGCTGGGCACCTAGAATTTAATGGGAAGTTGATGTCCAAGGAAATTGGATTTCATTTGTTTATGTTTCTAAAGGGTTGGGAAAACCCTTTCCAGCTTACTCTCACTCGCTGTATCGCGTGGACACAGGTGGTCTTTTGGGAACACACTGCCAGCTTTAGGACCGTAAATCACAATTACAAGAGGACAAGACTAATCAGATTTCATGCCTCGTGGTGCAAGGAAACAAGAAAGATTCTTGTGGTTTCGTACCTCATCCTATGAAACATGGCATTGATTGGCGTGCCATGGGCTGAGACCTTCCGGACCAACAGCTACAAGGAAACTATTCCTGTTCTACCACACTGAGTCCTGATACTTCAATTATTCCCTTCTCACTGGAGCTATGGAGCTCTCTGGGAGAAAAAATGTGGAGAGGGGGATATTTCTATAGCTAAAGCCTTGAAATGACTTCATTTTGTACCACCAGCTACCTAGCCACACCAAAAACTAGATTCTTTTGTACATACAGTCATCCTGCAAGTCATCTTGCACTTACTTTTCAGCTCTGGTTTCAAAATGTCAGGGAGAAGCAAAAGGGGAGGGAGAAAGGAGGACTAAGAGTTTTAGCTGCTTCTCCAAAGATGCCCTCTCACCCCCTACACCAGAAAAACAATTGACTGGGGAAAGGTTGCTGGAAGTAATTTCCTCCTGCAGGTGGAATTGGAGGCAGGCTCCCAGCCCTGTCATGGGAGATGTGTTTTGGAGCACATTATCACATCTGCCATCTCAGTTGAGAGAACAACTAAACTCTAAAGGTTGCTCCTTAACCCCCTCCCACCACAAACTGAAAAAGAAATTTGAATAAGGTGTGAAATCTGATAAGCCTCCTCCTTGATCCGTGCAATCCCAAACCTAAGGCTTGCTGCTTGGGTGACTGTATATTTGAAATATTTAACAAAGATCAGCTCTGCCCCATTTCAGCCCCCGCTTCATGTGATTCTTCTCATCTCAAGCTTTCCTAGACTGCTGTGAAATGTTCAGTCAGCAGTTCATGCACAGTCTAACACAACACCAATCCTTGCAAGCTGCAAGTGAAGTAGAACATTTTGAAGCATGGAAGCCTCAGGTAAGGTTCAAACCTACACAAGAAACTCATACAACTATGGTTGTATGTGGTCTACCAGAGGTTTCAAAGCCCTCAGTGAAGGCAAAAGGAGATGCAAAACCCGTAGACATTGTTTGGAAGTTTAAAAACATGGTTTTAAAGTGCTGGAGATGAAAGAATGGCAGGTGTAAACAATTTAAAAAAGGAAGAACATATGCATATATATACAGTGACCATTTTGACACAGAAAAAGACTCGAGATTTTCAAACACCTGAGCAATCACAGTGCTGTGTGTGGTAGCTGTGCAGTTGGTGCTGGAATGGTTGCACCACAGCTTCCCAGTTCACCACAAACCAAGTTTTTCTTCAATTTCTGTGAAGAAACAATAATGAAAAGCTGCCAAATACTCCTCCAAAGAGTATTTGGGATCCTCTGAAATGAAAGCCTCTATTTAAAGAAAAGATAAGGCTTGAATAAAAAGCTATGGAAATTGAAGTGTGACAAAAATAAGCTCTAGTTGGGTTAAAATATTTCTAGCTGAGATTGCAAAGTAGACTTTCCCTTTTCTACAGTCTGCTAATACAAACCAATCTGAAGCCTGGGAAACAGCTTTCTAATGAAGATACCATACAAAAATCTGTCTTAGTGTTTA